GAGTTCTTCAATGAGTTCTTTGCATCTGTATTTTTAGACAAAGACCAAGACAAATCTCCCAATTGGATCATAGATAGACATAGGAGGGCCATCAGCCACCAACTGTTAGCGCAGACTGAGAGAAGGGGCACTGGGAGGGGCTGGAAGTTTTCAGATCAGTGGTCCCTGATGAATTTTATCCAAGGATGCTGAAGGAATTGGCCAGTGTCACAACAGAGCCACTGACACAGCTGTTCAAGTACTCATGGTGCTCCAGTAAGGTCCCAGAGGACTGGAAAAGGGCCAATGTGGTCCCCATTTTCAAGAAGGGGAGGAGGAAGGAATCAGGAAACTATAGACCAGTTAGTCTCACCTCTATCCTTAGGAAAGCTCTAGAAAAAAATCACTAAGGATCACATTTGTGGGAGCCCAGTAGGGGAAATAATGATGAAAGAAAATCAGCACAGATTCATTGCAGATAGTTCCTGCCTGACTAAACTTGTTTCTTTTTATGACCAGGACACAACATGCTTAGATGCAGGAGTTGAGGTAGATGTCATCTACCTAGACTATAAGAAGGCCTTAGATACATTATCTCATTCTGTTTTAACTGCACTTTATCATATATTAGCGAATGCATGATGAACAGGTCCAGGGAGGTGATGCTACCCCTCTGTGCAGCACTGGTCAGACTGCAGTTGGAGGACTATGTCCAGTCTTGGGCACTGCACTTCAAGAGGGATGTGGAAAATCTTGAAAGGGTTCAGAGGAGTGCCACTGGTATGGTTAGAGTCCTGCAGGCAAGTCCCTACGAGGAGAGACTGAGGGACCTAGATCTCTTCAGCCTTCTCAAGAGAAGGCTGAGGGGTGATCTTATGGTTGCCTATAAATTCATCAGAGGAGGGCAGCAGGGAATAGGAGATGCTCTGTTTACTAGGGCACCCCTGGAATAACTAGGAACAATGGCCACAAATTGATGGAGAGCAGATTTAGGTCAGACATTAGAAATAACTTCTTCACAGTAAGAGTTGCCAGAATCTGGAAGTGGCTTTCAAGGGAGGTGGTGCTCTCCCCTACCTTGGGGGTCTTCAAAAGAAGACTGGACAAGCACCTAGCTGAGGCCATCTGACCCAAGCGCTCTTTCCTGCCCAGGGATGGGGTCATACTCAATGACTTACTGAGGTCCCTTATGACCCTAACATCTATGAATTTATGAATCTACTACTCCCCCCCAGCTTGGTGCCATCTGCAGACTTGCTGAGGGCGCACTCTATGCCACCTTCCAGGTCACTGATTAAGAAAACCAGCCCCAGGACCAATTCCTGGGACACTCCACTTGATACTGGCTGCCAGCTAGACATCAAGTCATTGATTACTACCCTCTTAGCCCAATGCTTCATCCAGTTTTCTATCCACCTTAAAGTCCATTCATTCATCCCATACAAATTTTCTGCCACTCCGAGCCGATGTCCTGTAACATACCTTGCCTCTTTCTGTGCCCTCTGCTGCCTCTATTCTCTGGTGCACACAGGTTTCCAGAGTGTCTGTCTCATATTCCTCTAACTGTCTTTGATATCTCTGAAGCTGCACTGCCTGCATAACACTCTGTCTTGCCATAACCTGCACTTGTAATCTACACCTTACAACCTCCACAGAAAACACCCAACTGCTCTTTTAACCATTTATGAAAGACTGTAACCCTTCCCAAGGACCCTAGAGTCAAAGGACCCTGTTCATTCACACAGCCTTTCCAGCAGAGAGATGACTTTGCTCTCTCCTAGCTTCCTATTGCCAACACAGGAGGTTCTTACTTAATCCCAAGCAGACCACAGCATGTAACCATGTCCACTACTCTGCCTGACCCAGACAAAAAGTCTCCCAGTCAGCAGTAACAACCCACCTCTCCTGCACAAAAGACTTTAACACAGACATAGTTACTTAGGTTAATATTCTGGCTGGAACTACTACACAGTTTTACCTTACCAACAGGTCTCCACCAGCAGTTCCACAACCTTACTCCACTATCACTATGAGTCTTGGCTACCCCTCTAAAACAGATCACTCTGCATCAACAAATTCCCTGATTGGTCAGGTTACTACCCTTGTGTCCCAGTGGCATCACCAGTTGTTGACATTGGATTTGGACCCAGTTCCTATACCTTTGTTCTGGGTGGGCACAACCCTCAGACTGAACACAACACCTGCCAGTCAACAATAGGCAAATTGATTGATACAGAGTAAGAGCAGAAAAACAACAATACAAGCAATCAAACAATTCCATATCTACCAATCCTAGGGCTGTCATCAGAGTCAAAGTGCATTTGGGTAGGATGCAGGCTCCACTCTGAGGCTCTTTGTCTTAGGTGTCAGCAGTCTGGAGATAAGATTCCAAGGCCCACAGGCCACCTCCAGTGGGGTGCGTGAGATGGGCTGCTGGTATGCCCTTGGTCCATGGTGACCTCAGGGACCTTTCCCAGGGGACAGGGATGGGGATGGGGACCCCTCTCAGGGAGCAAAACAGAGAGGGACAGGGAGGGAAGAGAAGGAACAGGGAGGGAAGGGACAGAGGGAAGGACAAAAGAGATAGACAAGACAAAGGGAGGGACCCTTTTTAATTTTAAGTCTCTGCTTTTGTATTTTCCTTCCCCTTGATGACTCTTCATGTGTGGCTATCTCTGGTTGGTTCTCTCTTTGTGTTCACACATTCATGTAGCCTTGCGGGCCTTGTCCTAATTTGATCTGTTCCCCCAAAACTGGGACTTAGGCCCCCCTTTTCTCTGAGGGCTTGTTGCTGGTGTCACTTATCTTGTGTTATGGGATATACTTCCTTTGCTTCCCAGGCTGTGTGTCCTTGTTGTGCCAGACAACTTGTCTGCCTTGAAGGCTGTGATCTCATGTTATAGCATGTCACCCTTCAATTTTTAGCCTGTGTCCATCCATTGCTCTTGTTGTGCTAGACACACCATCTACTTCCAGAACCATGAGAAGCTGTGTATGTGTTTTCCAAGCTCTTTAGAAATTCAAGTAAGCCCTGATGCCTATCTTGACCCCTTATAATGCATATATCTATACCTATAAGCCAATTCCCAAAAAAACAAGCCTTTAAATACAATTTCTAAGCCAACAATTGGCATACAGTTGCCCGGATTTTCCCTTTCTTAAATATGGGCACTATGTTTGCCCTTTTCCAATCATCCAGGACCTCTCCTGATCACCATGAATTTTCTAAGATGATGGTTAATGGCCCTGCACTCACATCAGCCAATTCCCTCAGTGCCCTCGGGTGCATCCCATCCAGCCCCATGGACTTGTACATGTCCAGCTTTTTTAAATAGTCCCTAACCTGCTCTTTCTTTTACTCCATGGTCAGACTGGTATGGACTGTGAGGGTTTCTGCCTTTCTCTGCAGCATGGGGTGTGGCACTCTTCCTGGGACCTCTTGAGCATATTTTAATAACCTTTGTAGCAACAGGATATTGATCACCAATCTTCCCCCCGCACCTCCCAGCACATCGCTGCTTAAGCTTTTAGAAATTAGGATTTTATGTTTTTGTTTAGGTACAGGTAACTGTGTAGTTTTTCTAATAGGGTAGACAATGAATTTGTGTAGGGTGGTTTGTATATGGATGGCCCTGCCACAGTGGGTTGTATTAGGAGACCTGTGGAAGTCTCTTCAAGCCTTATTTCTTAATCATTCTGTGATTATTTATTTTAGGTTTACATCAGGGGAGCTGCTTGTAAATTAAAATAAATTGACACTAAGGAAAACTGTTTTAATGGTTCCCCTATTAAAATTTGTTTTCATGAACAGAATCCTTCTGGGGTCCTGCAGAGACTTATTTTCTTAAACTACCAGAAGTCAGTTAATTCTTCTTACTTGCCAACATACAGTTTTCTTTCCAAACAAGAAGGGCATTTGAAACAAAGAAACAAGCAAGCAAAAAACAATGCTTTCCCCACCCTCTTCTCCTCCCCTACCTTCCCTGTTTAAACTATAATAGGCAAGTGAAAAGAGCAATGGCTGGCAAATGTCAAATAAGTGGTATATGCATAATGAGACAGGAGAAAATCTCCCCTACTATCTATAGAGCTTCTGAAAAGAAGGTGAGAGATACCTAAAACTACTTTCCCTCTTTCTTCATTATCTCAGTTCAACCTTCTCTCTGATATTCTTCATGGGCTGGAATCCTAGCCCATTGGAGAAAACAGAAAAATTATCAGTCTGCTCAGTGGTATAACTAGGGCAGGGTAACTAGGGTAGTTCCCCTTGACTCTAAGGGGGTGGGTGCACCAAAAAAATAAAAATGCTGCTGCTGCAGCTGCAAAACAGAGCCAGTGGCACACTGGCAGCTAGAAGTTGCTGCTGCCCCCGTGTGTGGCAGTTGCCTCCAGCACCTAGCTACACTGTTATACCACTAAGTGTGACTGGAATTTTTCTTGTCTTTCAAGTACTTAAGAAGGAAATGTTTCTTCCACTCTACTTGGCATTGGTGAGGCCCCAACTGGAGTATGGCACCCAGTTCTGATAGTCACACTTTAACAAGAATGTGGTAAAACTTGAGAGAGTCCAGAAAAGGGTCCACCCAATGATTAGAGACTTGCATGGTAAGCAATACAAGAAAAAGCTGAGGGACCTGGGACTCTTCAGCCTGAAAAAGAGAAGGCTGAGAAGGGACTTAGTAGCTGCTTACTGCTACATCAGGGAAGTACATCAAGGACTCAGTGAGCAGCTGTTCACCAGGGCACCTGAGGGGAAAACCAGGATTAATGGCCACAAACCCCTGGAAGACTGTTTCAGGCCCAGCATTAGGAAAAACTTGTTCACAGTTAGAGTGTCCAGACTGTGGAATAAGCTCCCTCCAGAGGTGGTACAATCACCTACACTGGAAATCTTTAAGAGAAGACTGGACAGTCACCTTGCTGGGTTCACCTGACCCCAGCTGTCTTTCCTGCCTAGTAAAGGGGGATGGACTTGATGATCTTCAAGGTCCCTTCCAGCCTTATAATCTATGAATCTAAGAGGTATCATTGTAAATCCTGATAAAGTGTTGTATTGAGCAAAATATAACATTTATGTTTTCTCTATGGCTTAAGGTCCTGTGTGCTGAGCTAGTAACCAGAAGGATGGGAGTTTGATGTTGATTGTGGGGTCCTAATTTTGTGTCTCCTCCCTCTCCCCTCCCACATGACCCACCAGGCAACTGCCTGGCTGAATGGAGAAGTATGTCCAGGAAGCCTGCCTCTGGTGCATTGTGGATGACTGTGGCAGTGCTTTCACCATGGGCATTCTCAGTGGCAGCATACTCCAGGCTGTCAAGGGCTTCAGCAATGCCCTTGTGGTCATCTGTCACTGGCTTTGGGGAAGCATCAATGCCATGTGGGTCCAAGCCCCCCAGAATGGAAGTGGTTTCATGGCGTGGGGCAGCCTCTTCATCATTGACTGTGAACTAGTGCAGATACAGGGCAAGGAGGGTCCTTGGAACTCTATCACCAGTGAAGCCCTCACAGGTACTCTCCTCACTTCCTGCAGCAACCCCTGGCCATGGTGGGCTTGCCCATGACAGGGGACATCCTCCTGGCCCTGATCGAGGGCCTCAGGATCCTGCTCACCCACTTCATGGTCCAGCAGTTACAGAACCCCACTCCCTTCATGAAGAATCTCATCCAGCTGCCCTCCAAGGACAGCTGCACTCCCACCAGCTACTCAGGCTACAGACAGTATCAGTGAACCCCGACCCATAAAAAGAAAAGGGAAGGGCTTCTTCCCTTAAGATCTTTATCTTAAGTCCTTTCACACAAACAATTAATTTGACTTTGAAGAGAATTTAGTGTGAAAAATAATTACAGAACTGATGAAGGATGATTTCACATTTCCAATGTATTATGTTAAACCCAACATTCTGCCATTCCTAATCACCTGAATTTGCCTTATGACTACTGTTCTTTACTGGAAAAGTTAATATAGCTTTGCACTTTTGACAGATATGAAAACAGGGTTTTTTGATATACTTATAGTTTATTCAAGTAAAGTATATGCCAATAGTTTGTTCACTGAATAAATAAAGTATTACGTGCTCATAAGATGATTGTATTGCAAGTAACTGAACTAGTGATGTCATATTGATAACATCAAAATGAAATATCTTACTGGCCAGCATCTACTTTTACTGTGTGTTTATTAGTATTAATGTATTTATAGAAAAGATATAGATTTCAATGAATAATGAAAGATCAGCTAAATATTTACATGTATCTTTTATTGAAAAATTCTGTATTTTTCTTCTCAGATGTGAAGCACGAAGCAAGGTGTCAGAGGAATATACAAGTTCAGTTGCTTAATAAGATGGTCATCTGTGAAATTTAAAGTAGAAAATCTGAAGGAAACAAACAAGTTTTAATGACATTTTGTAAACCGTGATAATGTCTAACCTTTTCTGAATTGAAAGGAAGCATCCTGACTATAACCAAATTGAAGTTGACAACAGAAAGTAAGCAATAACGTTAATTCAGAAAAAAAAATAGAAATCCCTTTTCTCATAATAGGCCAGTCTATCCTCTGAGTTGCATTAATATATGCCCAGTGAACGGGATAATTTAGATCAGAATCTAGTCATATGCAATTCTATTTAATGTTTGTATTAATATAGATTTATTTCTAAAGTTGTACTGTACACTTTGTTATTTATTCTTGACTAGTTATATCAACACCAATGACCAAACTAATGCTACATTCTATAGCTAGCCTGATTAACTTTCTGTGATTCATTCCAATAGTCCAAGATAAGGGAATTCTGATATGTATATGGATGATAACTTTCTAGAGCAACCTGTAAAAACCTTGAGGGATATTTTAACAAAAACACAGCACTTGGTGAAAAAATATTTAACTGTTCAAATGTTTCATTTTTATTCCTGACCCATTTCCTGTGAAGGCTTCTTTAACAAACTGACAAATCCAAAACTATGTCATCGATTCCAAAATAATGGAAAATGCATGGCAGCATTTGTGTCTATATTATTTCCTTTGATCATCACAAAATATGTGACTCTTTAGCCTACTAAGTAAATCACTCTGCACCAGATAGATATATTAGCTCCAGTTGGCCAGGAGATTTAGATGCAGAACAATGGATAGCAGCAGATGTCAGAATTGAAAGGCAAGCCAGAGGGTTACATACTGAAAGTAGAATCCAGCCTTGTCTATTCTGATCCCAGCTCCTTATCAGTGGTTTCCTAGAAGAGGCTTGTGGCTCTCCCAAGGGTTACTTTGTTACTATTCTTTCACAAATGAAGGGAAGATTGGGCTGACTTCCTGCCTCTGGCAAAGTTTATTTCCCATTATGACTAATGGTAAAGAGGTTTGTTAGAAAAAACAAAACCAAAAGCAATAAAAACAAAAACACTTGTAAAGTTTTGTTTTGTTTTCACCCCTCTCCGCTTTCTTTTCTTATGCCTTTGCTAGAAGGCTGAAGTAAGTGTCTGTTTTTCATATGATATTTAACTATTTGATGCCCCAGTCTCTTATTCTATATATTATACTACTTATATATATATTATGCATATATACATGTCCTCTATTTTTCTTCAAGAATACACACACACACACACATTCTTGAAGAAAAACAGAGGACATAAAGGTGCCTGGTTTTGTATCAATAGAGGACAAAGGACATTATATATATATCTCATAAGAGACTCATAATGTATATATATGTATACACACACACATTTATACAGGCAGGCTGCATGCGCACACATGCACACCCCACAGTAGATTCAGAAAGGTAACTACCAACATTTGTAAACTATCAGGGAGAAGAGCTCTGGGGTTCTGTTTTAGTCATGTTGTTCCAATGACTTTGACAGAAGATGGCATGACAGACACTTGGCAGAGATGTTTTAAGTCAGGAATGATCCTGCTATAAGCAGGGGGCTTGACTTAATGACTTTATGAGGCCCCTTCCATCCCTATTTTCCTATGATCCTATGACTTGAACAAACTCAGCAAGGTGAGATTTGTCAAGCTATAGGTTCACTTGTGATTTAAAGAAGGAAATAAATACATTAACAAAAAACTGGTGATAACCACTGTCTGCTATTTAGCAAGGAGTAGATTAGAGAGTCTTCCTAATTTCTGTGCTTTATACAGCTCTTAATTCAAAGACCATCTAATAGCTTTCCTGGCTGTAACAAAGCACAGATTAACAATCTGAAAGATACATGCATACGTACATAAATACATACATACAGATGTGAATATACTTTTGTATTTTCCTAAAAAGAGGCAATTTATGTGGAAAATATTCAGAATTTGTATACATTTTTCAAGCAGCTGGAGCAGTGATGGAAAGAGACCCAATGCATCTACTCCTTCCAAATAAAAAATAATTTACTCTTCGTTGGTAAGTCTTGCTGGATATTGTTACTAACGATGTTTAAATTGCCAGGACAATTGTCCTGTTAAAAAACAGGACAAAAAAAGAAGAGGAGAGAAGTGTCTTCAGCTAGTGTTTTGTAAGCAATGGCAAAGCTTCCACCAATTAAGAGGATCTGACCCTATACAAGTGTTCATTAGATTGGAAGCAAGACAGAATTAGGATACATGATTAGCAATCTTTTTTTTTAATTATTTTTTATTTTAATAGAATGCAGGAATAGAAGCTGCTGACGAAATCACTGCAAAAGAATTTTATTTTGACCCTTGCATTTTCTTTCAATTCAGTCCCATAGTAGTATTGTCAGTTACTAACTCCATGTATAATCAGTAAAAAGAACTGCTGTTGAAGTTTTTTACTTATTACTGTATCCCACTTAGGAGGAAGCCAGCATGTGTGGCATTTGACTGAGCAACATAACTATAAACATTTATTAATATTACACTACTTTATTAAGTGTAATGTCATGTTAAGTTTAAAGTTACACAAAAAATGAAAGCAAAATTTGGAATTCTGCACATTGATCTTCTGCATTTTTCAAAAAGCTAATAGCATTTGTTTTTATTATATTGAGGTAAACATCCCATCTGATCATAACACAGTTGATAGCAATTCTGTACTTTAATGGAAAATTTAATGAAAAATAAATATTTTATGTAATAAATTTAAACTGTAATTAAAACAATGCAGTATTAAATATATTGAGAACTTTGGACATGTAAATGGCATGTGATTTCATGACTATGGGTCACGCAATTCACATGACACAATAAACTCTGGAGCCACTTGAGCTAGAGTACACTGGTCCCAGACACAGCAATTACACATATACACAAGCAATTTGAGCTGGAGTGGAGCAGTCTTGGGCTGGCAGGAGACATAGGGGGTCAGACCTGGGCTCCGGGTGGCAGTGGTGGGTGGCAGAGTGGCTGGCTGGGGTGTGAGGGTGCTACAGTGCAGAGTCATGGGACTAGGCAGCAGGCAGCCCCTGCACTTTAGCACCCTCATGTTCAAGCTGGGTCTTATCAATGTTTAAACGTACATATCATTGTACTTAATTACTCTGCCATAAGATAGTACTGTACTCAGACAGTTAATTAGTTTACTGCACCCTAATATCAGCATACATGTAAATGTTGATGCTTTACTGTGTAGCTAATTAGTCTACGGTAAATCACATGTGTAAATGCACCCTATGAACTCTTAATGGCACAAATTATCTATCTAATTTATTAAAAAAGTAATGATGTTTTAAGCTGCATTCAACAGTCCTAGAAACTATGTAATTGCAAAAAGTGAAGATCATTGCATAAAAAAGTAGAATCATTGCCTCTGCAAAATAAGTTCTTATTATTAGTAGGACAGCTGACCTTACTATCTGGGTTCATACCTTTTGACATCTTGTAAAAGTCAGTTTCCTATATTTGTATGTGAGCCTTTTTCTTCCTGCTCTTTTAACTCTAATAATTTATAATCAGATGTTCTTTACATATATTTTGAAACATTTGCACAAGCGTATGATTTTGTCTTCTTTCCTTGAAATAGGAACAGCGTCAGAGAGACCTTAGTTTGTAAGTGCCAAATATATATATATTGGAAAACAGGAATGTGAGAAACCCTCAAGTTTAATATATTTCAGCAAGAATGGAAAATGCTGTTCTTCAGTTGAACAACTGCAGAAGTATTATTTGGTTTATAATAGTTGAACATATGTTTTGGAAATTTCTGTCTTGTTAACATTATGCCATGAAGACAGCTGCTTTTATTCTTCTTGGGTAAATCCACTCAACATATGCTAAAACATAATGATAAGGAAAATCACTAATGCAAAATATCTGGGTACACCATAAAGAAATCATAATATATATATTAAATAATGAAGAAAAATATTAACATAATTATGGATTTTAAAATTCCCCAACCAGGACTGAGAACCCATTAAGCTAATCCCCACATAAATAAATCAGATTTAAAAAGTGTGGGGGGCTTTGTCTTGAAAAGCAAACTAAGGTAAATGATAAAGATGGAAGAGAGAGATACTGAAATACGTATCTGAAATCACCACTAGTTAGTGACAGAAAAAAGAATAGAAACCAAAGTGCCTAAACCTCAGTCCAATATCCTATACATTGAAATATATAGCCTACCTTTTTAATTGTTACTTGAAGAAATGTGTTGCTATATAGACAAAAGATATGGCAGGATGGCATCTTGGAAACTAACTAATTCAGTTACATTTTATACGTTGTCTTTCTATAACTTAGTTATCAAGATAAGCAGTTATTAGCAGAATAATACATCTTGCATAAGAGCACACTCTTA